GATTTTCAAGCATAATCCGTCGTCGTAAGAGCTTTCCCAAAATATATCGCAAAATCTTGCCCCTTCAACCCTAAAATAAGCATTTAGGGTCACTTTGAACCATAACATAGAACATAAAATTTTTCGATCTATCCGTTTTCGCTGTCAGAAATACATCTATTGTATCTAAAAAATCCAAATTGACCTTGAAATAATCTCTACGATTGATCTTTGTGCTGAAATCGCTGATTGATCGTTATGAAAATTTAAAGTGTGTTTCGTTATGAAATTACAAAAAATATGAACCAGCAATTGGGATGATATCATAATTTTAAGGGTGATTTTTATTCAAGATAAGTGAAAAAAATGGTGAAAATCGATTCATTCTTTTCAAACACTTGTCACAACTTAAATTTTCACAATTTTTACCCCCAACGAGGTTCCTGTTCATAGAAATCATAATAGTGCAAGAAAAAAACCAGTTTGCTTTTACATCAAAATTGTGAACAACGACCTAGGACGACGACCTTGGGTGGACAACAACCCAACCCCCAACATCGGCATTTTCAACTTAATTGACTTGAAAAAATTTGTAAATGTAATTTAAAATATTGATAAAATAATGTCAAAGTTTGATCAAATATTAATGAATTTGTCCCACTCAAAAATATTCGTGAGAAATGCCTGAAAATCAGCCTCCTATACACTGTAAAAAAAATTCACTCAAATTTCACTCAATTTTACTCAATAATGTATCAATTTTTGTCCACATCCGATTGTGAGTAATTTTCACTATATTAGTATGAGTACAATTGAGCTGTTGCGTCAGAAATGGGTGAGTTTTACTCAAATTCGAGCTACTGCTAACTATCAATTGAGTGACTTTTGACTCTATTCTGAGTATATAAAACCAATTTACAGTTGACTTTTTCTCTAATATGATTTAAATTTAACTATTACTGAGTCATTTTTTACTCAGACTTGGTTTTTAATTAAGTAAATATTGAGTGCAAAAATAAATCACTCATAAATTAGGATATACAGTGTTGAAATTAATTAGACGCTATACAGCGTGTTCTGCAAATGATAGTATATATTAATCCTTGAAGTTAAGAGATGAAAATCGGTATTTTGTAATAATTTTTTTGTAATTTATTACATTTGTATAATTTTTGAGTAAAAGCCATGTTATTTGAAATAGACTAATGTGTACAATTTACTTAATAAATGCTTCCACAATCCACATTATTAATGTTTGGAGATGTTTTGCACCACTTTATAATTTTTTGAAATTTTAATTCAAAAATCATTGTCATAAACTACTAAACAGTTATGGTGGTTTCAACACAGATTTGTTTTAGAGATAATAATTTAGGTCTCGATTGATTCACTGATCGGATAAATAAATTGCCATAACCGATATTCAGCTGTATTCTGTATCTTATAGGTTAAAATTAACCCTACCGCTAAAAATAGTAACTCCAACTGGTACTCGGTATAAGTTTTTTAACGGCCCAGTTAAAACAATTTTGTTAGCCGTACGTTAATTTTTCAATGTTAGTGAAGTTAGCAGTAAGTTAAAAGCATACAGAAATATTTATATTTTTCTATGAGTAAAAGACGTCGATTTGTGATAATATAACCCCGATTGGTGGATTAGTACAAATAATAATATTATGGGGGGTGAAGAAAAGAAACACGACAAAAAACAAGTTCCAATTATTTGTTGACTTTTTGGAAGTCAACGATATTTTACACCAATTTGCAGCCACATTAAATTGTGGTTGCAAATAAAGCTTGAAATGATTTAATTTGTAGAGTCGTTATAACGTTTATAAATAATATAGATCAATTATACCATTTGTCAAGCCATGTTAAATTTTAACAGCATCTATTTTGGTCCCGCTAAATTTTAACATATTAGATTAAAATAAATCCATTAAAATTTTACAGAATACAGTATCGAGTTAAATAATAGGAGGTTAAAATTTTAACTATGGCCTTGACGTTAAAATTTAACGAAAAGCGTTACAGAATAGACCCGTTTGTACGTTATAAATACATCATTATAGATAACAATTTAACTATCCGTTTATTTAACCAAATATTAATCGAGACTTAATATGTTGTCTTTAATTATTGTAATTAAATCACTGCATTTAAATACAGTTTTCACTAGAATAATCAGATAAACCGATACCTACTTGTGCAGCTCCAAAGCACACCGTCAAGGCCATTCCTGGCGGGGGTGCAGCACATGCACTCGCACGGGGCGGCAGGAATTAGGGGGCGGCATTTCGTTCGTAAAACAGTATATAAATTCCATATAAAAGACCCCTTACAATACTTTAGTTAGACTTGGCAACCTCGCCCCACGGCGCAGTTTAATTAATCGGGAAAATTCACGTTGTTAGTAAAATGTCTCATAATCCTAAAATTAATATTTCCGAATGTGTAACTGCCTCAAAAATTTTAATTAACTATATTAGTGAAAAAAGAACTGATGAAAGTTTTAATTTCATTTATAAAAGAATCTGAATCGATAGCTGCAGAAGTTAATATTTTGCCCGAATTTCCTCTTCCCCAAAAACAAAATTTTAATGTACATTTTTATTTTAGTACCTATATTAGATACCACGAACAATTCACTACAAGAAAGATTTTCTTTAATAGAAGAATCTAATAATTTATTTAAATGTTTATATGAGTTTCACGAAATGGAACCAGAATTTTTGAGAAAATCATGTTTGGATCTAGATTCTTATTTACAAGGAAATGGGGACTTCCTTCAACGAGATATCGATGGAAATGAGCTCTATAATGCAATTTTATGTTTTTAAGCCATTGTTACATCGCTTGAAGAATCCAAACCCTACTTTATATTAAATTATATAATCACCAATGATCTTACCTCTTGTTTTCCTAATTTAGCCCTAGCTCTAAAAATATTTCTTACATTACCTGTGACGGTTGCCTCTGGGAAAAGGAGTTTTAGTAAATTAAAACTCATTAAAAATTTCTTACCGTCTACTCTTTGTCCCAAGAAAGATTGACAAACCTTGCCACTATTTCAATTGAACATGAAATTTGTCAAAACTTAGACATATCAAATATAATACACGATTTTGCTTCTAAAAAAGCTCGTAGGGTTTTACTTTAATTTTATTTATAATTTATTATAAATATGTATATATTATAGATATTATACAGGGTGATTCACAACTTATCCAAAAAAATTTGGGAATAGATGCGGCATGAGGCATGGAGTCAATATTGTAAAAAAATATTGTAAAATCCTTATAGTTTCTGAGAAAAAAATTATTGAAGTTATAGCACATTAAACCACTACATAGCTGGACAACTGTAGTCTCTATCGTCATTCGCAATACGCGTGGAGAGCCATGTGACTCCTAATACTGAAATCCGTCGTTGTGGTAGTTTTTACCTGTTATCTGTGGTATTTACATCAGTTTTTTAGTAGTTACTGTCAAAAATGGCTTGCGTGTATAGCAACTCAGAGTTGATGGATATCGTTTTAATTTATGGTGAAGCAAGACAACATTTGTATTATGGTAAAGTATTTGTGTTATGGTGAAGCAAGACATCATTTGTGTTAGTTCGTAGAAAGTGAGTAAGACGGACCCAAATTTGTTTACACGTGAGTGGATAAAATTTTGAACAATTGCTGTTGCAGCATCGGGTATGTCAAATGATTTTATTATTAAATTATTAAAAACACAAATTAATTTTATTAATAATTAATAAAGGCAAAAGCATTTGAATTTGCCGATATAAAATAGGTGCGATAAAATTCTATTTACATATTTCTTTCCTTGCGAAAGTTTTTGTCCGTTTTTATCACGCCGCCATACCGGTCGCATTGTGCGAGGTCAGGTTTTACAGTGGACCAGTTTCCAGTGCCGTGCAGAAGTGTATTTTTAAATCAATTTCGAACTGACCTTTTTGATTCTTTCTTTACAAAATTGTATTTATAAGGGTGCCCTGTACATCCAGAATTTTTTTTTTGATAAGTTCTAAATCACCCTGTATTATAGACTTATTTTATTTTTGCGATTTTTCGGTTGTTTGTGTATTTATTTTTAAGTTTTGTTTTTTATCGCATGTAAATAACTATGAATCTAAATACAATAAGGTTTTTATTTATTTTTAATAACGTTGTTTTATGAAAGGTTCCTTATCAAATATCACAAAATGATGGGGTTTCAATTTTTGACGTCACTTACTCAAACCAGTATTTTTATTTCAAAATTTCATTCAAGAGTAGGGCGGCAATTAATTTTTTGCACAGGACGGCAGAATATCCAGGAATGGCACTGCACACCGAACACCGTACGCCATACTGCCATCCACCACGCCACTGTCACGAGATAACCTAATGGGACGATGGGAACAGACAAAGACAATGCATCTGGATATGAAAAAGGGTGGGATCGCTCAGTAACGAGGCGATTTACTCTGATTTAGGTACAAGTGCACCAAATACGAGTTTACGTGAGGAAATTATTTAAGGAGTACCTATATTTGAGTGAAAGTACTCAGTTTTAGTTTAATGGATAAAATATTGAGTAAAAATGTGCTCAACCTTTATTTCTTTCACTCACACTGATTTTTTTACAGTGTATTGTGGTTTCCCTTAACCTTGACATGTGATATTGTAACACTAACAAGAAAAATTGACATTTTAATACGGATTACCGTAGCGAAACTTTCTTAAACTTCCCTCAGTGTACTTTAGTACATCTTTAAGTCCATGGTGTGCATTTTAATGCGGTGACGAGAAAACTTGAGGAAACGTCGCGCTCGCGTCTATATTGACGGCTCCCTATAAACCGTGTCCCCTATGTTTTTGCCAGGCCGAACCCGTCCTATGCGGTGCTATTAGAATGTCCGTACATAGCCTTTTACTATGGGTGGGGACCGCGATAGTGGGGCCCTGGTAAACACGGTGCGCTATGCCATAGTCAATCTAAACAAATCAGTTGTTATTTTCTAACCGCGACGGCGCCCGACGTCAGCTGCGATCATGCCGCATGAGAACGTGGTCAAACTGCCGCTCGAACTCACCCATGTTTGATAATACTTGTTCGTTTGGACTATGGTCTGATGTTCACGCACGGCGACAGTTAGATGTAACTACACTCACCGAAGGTTCTCTCAACCACACACCGATGCCAGTTTTAAAGCCAGTTCTAGTATTAGGTGCCAGTTCTTTTTAATTTTTAAGTTTCGCTTTGCCCCTCGTCATATCTACTTTTCGCTTAGGATATCTGCTCTTACACGAAGGTTCGTATTTAGTTACACACACACCCACAATAGTTATTGTTGTTATCACTGACGCTAGTGTGTAGCCGAGGCAGGTAGCTTCCACGTAACAGAAACACAGAAAATTGATTTTGAGCTCCTGATTTTGTTAGTCGGGAAGTCCCACAAATTAAATCACCTCAGTCATACCCGTCCTTTGTCTCTTCTTTACACGCGAATTGCTTAGTTGTTGAGTTTAAAATAATTTTTGCGCTGTTCGAAACTCCACACGATTTGTATGCATTTCTGAGTGATAGCGAGCTATAAAAATTGGAAATTGGTTACAAAACAGACGCAGTTAGAACTGTTTATTATTTATAGGCCAAAAGACCTGAAAGATTAAAAGATGCTGTTTAATTCTGCTGTCAGAAATATCAAATCTAAATACTTCTAAGGGCCAGTCAAATTACCTTAGCAACTAAATGAAATGCATTAGTTAATTTTTGTTTTTATCATAGCTTATTTAATCTTTAAAAGTAACACTATTCTTCCTGGAATTAGCATTGAGTGCAGAATAACGCAGTGGCGGCTCGTGGCTTTATGAGATGGGTGGGCAAAATATTTTTCCTCATGTAACTTAATATCATATAAGAATAATTGCACTCTACTGGCCTACTAATTTATTTTCTATATCAAATTTTTTTTTATTTTTTGTTAACAAATGATCCGCAGCTTTTTTCCCCTTGCTTATATAAAAAAATCCCATAAATCTTTCAACTAATTTACCACAATGAACATATCTAAAAACTACTAATAACTGAGATAAAGATTTAACATCCGTTATTTCATTTGGGTACTTGCCCGCGAAATATAGAGCATTTCTTATTTCTGAGAATATCACCTCAGATGCTAGAGCTAGACCATTGATGCTCTCTATTAAATCATTTTGAATAGTTTTTGAAAGGCTGCTAAAAACTAGACTTTTTTCTAAAAACACTAAATTTATTATCGTACCTTGGAAGTAAGTTTGCAAGCTCACGAAAATTGCCTTGATTAATGGAATTATCTGATTCATTATAGTCCTTAAATCTTGTTCTTGTGTAGCTAAGTAAATAATCATATCAATAAAGTGCTTTACAATGTCTATTTTTTCCAAGACTTTATTATGTTTTAAAATATTCTCACGAAATGCGGAATCAAGAAAAGTTTGAATGTTTTTTTTCCTAATAATTTAAATTTTAATGATGAATATGTATGCTAATTCGATCGCTCCTGTTTTTTTGTAAGGATTCATTAATATGTTTCAGATCTGAATATCCTAGATAGTTCCACGGTGTTTTAACTTTTTTCATTACATAGTAAACAATTCTAATATAATTTGGTTTTGGTTTCGCTGCCTGTTAACCACTCATATTTATTGTACCAATTTTTACTAAATGATCCGTTACTTCCGCAATTGTTTTTATTTGTTAAATTTTTCATGTCAGGCGTAGATTTTAATTTTGAAATAAATAATTTATCATCGAAAGTCAACGTACTAAATTTCTTATCTAATAAAAAAATTAACGATACATTAATATTGCTACTCATCAATTCGCGAATTTCACTTGCCATTTTGCTTTACTCCAAACTATTAAACAATAAAAACTTGCCTAAACCACCATTACAATTATAGGTTAAACATAAACAAACGACAATGACACATCGCAAGAAGATAGTAAGTACTCGAGGAATATACGAGTGAAGCCGAAGGGTTTGCCCGGTGCGTAAGGCAATTTATGTATACTCATATTATAATTTATTAAAAAGCTGATTGAAATTCAAAAAATGTATTAAATGAAACAAACGTTTTTTTTATATCTAACAGTTTCTTTATTATTTGACGAAAAAATAAATATTGGATTTAAAAGTCCTAAAAATTTACCACTTCCATATTTACAAATTCGAATCTATTAAAACATTGAAGATTTCTCTTTTAAAAGCAACGAGTTAAAAAAAAACTTAATAATTATAATTATCATTATCACAGAATATTCAACATGGCACCGTAGATATTTATTTTTTAACTCGATTTACACATTATTATAAAACGATTTATTATTTCATTTATTAAAATACCTTTTTCTGGAATACCTTTCCAGGGAAAAATTGTTATAATGTTTAAAAATTCATTTAATGAACAAAATTACAGCAAATAAATATACATATGTGCATTTCCAATCGCTGGCGAAAAGCCTTAGCTGGCTTTAGCTGATACAGCACTCGACGGGCATATGCGAGCTTGCCTGGCGTGGCGCAAATATGAAATTATCAGGGTGGGAACTGCCTACTCTGCCCATCCCAACGAGCCGTCACTGGAATAACGTACAAAGGGCTAACGCGCTTTTTTCGCCTGAGTGACTTCAAAGTACTTTCCTGGAGGTACAAACGCAATTTTTTGTATTCCGTGGGTTCAAACAACCAAAGTTAATTATTAAAATTTTTATGGACTGATAAGCAAGAAATTAAATGTAGATATCATGTAAAACTGTCTAACAGTTGTCATACTATCTCAGCAATCATTTGGTTTTTAACTGTAAGTACCTTTGTTCTTGTTATTGGGATTAAAAATAAACTGGGAAATAAAAGTTCAATTCACGGAGTCCAAAAATACCTTTAAAAATTACATAGTTACTACACGCATTGTTTAATACTTTGACAAGAAAGTATTTACATCACAACCTAACCCACAAAATATGCCTTTTCTACCCAGACTTGTGAAATGTCGCAATACAAAAGGGCGTGAACTATTATTTCCTGATGACACATCACCATCGATGTACAAAGAATCGGCCTAATTTAGCGCACCTACGACCTGTGCTCGATACATTTGTAAAATCTAGTAATTTTCTTTGTGCATATTACAATAATTTCAATTTTGTCGAACTCGTTAAAATGACAAAGAAAATATAGGACGTTCGTAATTTTTAGGCAGTGGAACAATTACGATTTGCTTAATTTTTGGGACTCGTCCTATTTCCCTCCAAAACTTGTGGGATCATTCTTTATATACAGCGTGTGCCTTTTAACATTCCCTCTGTCAATATCTCCGAAATGAAGAAATTCATTTTACTTGCGTAAACTGGGTTCTTAGATCCCTCGAATAACTTCAAATTGCAGTTAACATTGTTAGTTCAAATCTTTTTGTATAGATGGCGTGTCGATAAAAAAATTTTTGATCCCTGGAACGTGAAAATGCAGTCCATCTGAAAGATCGTTAAATTTTGAGTAATTTTGATAATATAAAGTTTTTCCCTATATTTACTTGTTTTCGAAATATGTCGACTTCAATATGCAATTTGTAATGTAACAAGAAAATCTATTATTTTATTTAAATGACAAATATTCTTTTAAAATATTGTTATAATAACTTTATTCACGCCACTTATTAACTAACAAACAATAAGTTATCAAAAAAAGGAATGATCAAGTACAAAAAAAAATTGTACAATGGCAAATCTTATAAGAGGCAGAGACGAACCGTATTTTATAAAATGTTATTAAAAAATGCAGTCATGTGTGGCTCATCTCAATAAAACATATATGACAGATGACATATTAGTTTTCCAATAATTACAGTTTTATCAGCTTGCGTCTTTTAATTTAACTATACTTGTTTTAAGATTTACCATTGTACAATTTTTTTTGTAGTTGATCATTTGTTTTTTTATAATTTATTGTATATATAAATTTTAACACCAAACTGTCCCAATCTTAATTTTCTTGCCAAATATCAATTCATTGCATCTAATACCCAAAGAGCATGTAATCATTAAGTAACAGAATCATTATCATTTAGACAAATTAATAAAAATTTTATTAGATAACGTGCGATAACACTCGTGTCTATCTCATCTTTATTATAATATGAAGCAGTTTTGTATGAGATGAAAATAAAATATTTGTTTTAATAATACTCCCAGACCATATCCCAAAATGATAGTGATAACAATTTGACTCGTTTGTTTTTCTGACGATGCAGTGATTTTTCTTAAATCCCTTGTTTTGGCACGGACTGTGTTTATGGGAAAACCTTAACTGCCGGAGTAAACATTTCTGTAGAACTTTGTATACGTACATCGCGTGCATTTTATTGTTTTTCCAATGAAAAGTGTGTTTCTATGATTTGTAATTTTCACTTCTTCATTCTGGGTAAGTCTGTATGAAAATCTCATATAAAATACAAAAATTTATAGGTCACAAATGTTTAATTGAACTAAATTTTAAGCATGTTTCACACGTTGCGACATTATGTCGCTTGTCAAACCTAACCTAACTTATTTACATTTCGTTTGTAAGGCTGAAAGATCGGTGACTTACAAGTCCAAAATTAAATTATAATTAAGGACCATAATTATTGATATTAGTACGAAGTAACTAAAGAAATAAAAGAAAGCATCGACGCACACTTTAACCTGTGCATGTGTTCAAATCGTTTTTTAATATTTGCGGGTCGCCTAGGGAAAGGTTTCTACTGGGTGTGTATTTGCCGACGAAAAATTATTTCTACAATAACGTTTTGTATTGAGACAAAACAATTATAATGTTATTGACAAGTATATGCGTGTGTCAATGCGCTGTTCGTTGTTGAGGTCGTTATTGTTACGGTCTCGGTTGCGGTTAGTCATTGATTAAAAATACTAAGAGAAAGTGATAAAATTAACATCAAACGATTGCAGACAGAAAGCGAAATGGGGCAAAGAAACTTGTTGGGGAATATTCTCACGTAACTTCGGATAGGCGCGGGTAGCAAGTGAGATAAAGAAAATTAGTCAAAGAATTAGAAAAACGTAGTATAGACACCTAGACATATAATTTCCTTTCGAAATTTTACTTTATAATATTTTGTTATTATTTTAGTATCAATGTGCATTTGTTTTCTAGAACGTTATTGTATCTATTTCATATTTAATACAGGGTGTTAATGATAAGTTTTGCCAAACTTTAATAGCGTATTCTACCGGTGGAAATAATCAAGTTTTGTCCTATAAAACTTTTTGATA